GGGGAGGGGAGAAGGGACGTTCACAATAAGGAAATGTGTTCTCAGTTCACCCCAAAAAATCAGTACTCAGGTTTTGTCACATGTGTGGAATATGCTTTACTGGAAGAAAACGTGTCTCTTTTCCTTAGTCAAAGTACCTGCAGGGCCCGTTTGACCCGACAGCAGGAGGAACCAAGGGGACCAGGGAAGCCCGTCCGGGGCGGCGGAGCGAAGACCTCCGACCAGACTTGAGGCTTGGCTTCTGGCCGCTGTCTGTCCATCTGCCGCGGGTGGCTCCTGGCCCTGCTCTGCCTCTCTGCTCTCTTCCCCTCTTTGGGGGCCTCAGGGCGTCCCCGGGGATGGGCCCTGCCGGTCCTCTACAGAGAAGCCATTGGCCAGAACCTCAGGGCCAGCGAGGCTGGCACCCCCAGGGTGTGACCCGGGAAGGGCTCTGCCATGTGGCCTTCCTGGCTTACCTGAGACTCCCCCCCCCTCCCGCCGCCGCCAAATGCCCATCTTGCTGCATAACCGTTCTAGCTCAAAGGCAGAGCTTTCCGGCCGGAGGTGCTGGCAGAGGGAGGCCTGCCTCCTTGGCGCAAGAAGGGCCGGCAAGTCGGGCAAACCTCTGGGGCAGGCTGTGCAGCCACAGAGTGGCCCCCGTCCTTTTGCCCTCCAGAGGTTTTGGAGCCAGCCCCCGACATTTCTGGCCATCAGCTGCGCTGGCCGTGGCTTCAGGGGAGGAAGTTGAAGGCGAAAAGGGCTGCAGGGCCAGCGGCCGAGAGCCATAAAGCCTAGGGGCAGAGCGAGCAAGAGAAAGGGGGCTGGTGCCCCCTCCGAGTGCTCTGGGTCTCCTGCAGGGATGCCTTCCCGTTGGGACGCCGGTCACTAGGCCAGCCTCAGCGGCTGTTTCTACGTGGCGCAAGTCTCCCATCAGAACCTGCCAGGAAGCAAAGATGGCGCTCAACCTCAGCAGACGTTCCTGCGTGGCTCTGAGAGGTGGAGCGGATGGGTGGAGGGGAGGTGGAGGAGGTGGAGGGATAGCCTTCCGGCGGCAGAGCCCCCTGGCCCCTTGCTGCTGCTCCAGCAAGGGAGGAGGCGGGCACCCTTTCACGGGGGGACCTTGCGCCAACCACAGGGGTCCTTTCCGCCTGGGTCCCTTTCAGCAGAAGGAGGGGAAAGGGAGAACAGGGCCGGGCACATGGGACCTGCTGCATTCCTCCTTCCCTTACCCCAGCCCCTCTCCTTTCTTTGTGGGTTGAACCCCTTAACTGTGATTAACCTAATTTGAATGCTCACAGGCTTGTGCATTTGGGTTTGTTTGTTTTTGCCATATCTGTCCATTAATCATGGAAACTTCACCAACTGGCCTTTGGAGACTCTAAATCGGGGCTTGTCCTGCCCTGCAAAGGGGCCCTTGTAGTATCTCTCACTGATGTGTTGACGGGACCCTGGGGTAAGACGGGTGGCCTTGATGGGTGGCCTCTGACAATGTTGTTTGTCCTCTTGCGTCCTCTCCTTCCCTGTGTGTGAATAGGTGGCTGGCAAACCAGTGAGTGGGTGGGCAGGCAGGGAGACAGGACTGGGTGGTGTCCAGCTGTACCCTGTGGTCAAGGAACGTTTCTGGGGTTGGCATGAAAGGGTGTTTACAGCTTCGTGGGGGTGGGACTGTGAATTGATGTCCCCTCTCGAAAGGCCAGCTTTGACAGCTAGCGCCTTAAAACTGGTGTCCGGGAGTCGAGTGGATGAAGTCTCCAGGCCTTGAAAGCTGCCCCCCCCCGACTCCCGATTCTGCTCTCTCCCTATTTGAAGGTGCGGCCACAAATTCTGGGACACAAGAATGGTTCTGAGGCACGGCAGAGATGGGGGTGAGCTCCTGGCTCTTCCTGCTGCCTTAGAAAAGGCCTCTGACCCATCAGCCGGTCACTCAGAGAGGGAGGGCAGGAGGCAAGGAAGGACCGCCACTCTGCAGAATCCATCTGCTTTGCACGACACACAATGGACCTGGGAGTGGGAGGTGGAGTCGGATGTTGGGTGGGGATTGGGGGCAACTGCTGAGGGAGGGAGGCCCCTATCAAGCTCTCCCTCTCCCAAAGAATTGGGTTCAGACAAACTTTTTCCAACAGTGCAAAGCATGCTTTGTGGCTTCTTTCCCTCGGGACTCTTGCAGGAGAGGTCCAGGCCCAAACGTGGACAGGGGCCGGGGTTGCTCCCCTCTCAGGAGACCCACCACCCTCCAGAGGGGGCTGTTCTCTTGTCTTCTTGTGTCATCTTTTGAACCCAGGGCAGGTGGCAGCCTCATCCCTAAACCTCCCATTCACATTCAGTGAGAACAACACTTGGTTTAAGAATGTGGAAGGAGGCCTAAGCGAGAGGCCTTTGGGGAGGCCAAGCATTCCCCCCCCAGAGTCCTGCAGTTTTTGTGTTTTTGGGCCACCCCCTCCGCAGAGTTCCCCAGGCAGCGAGGAACCCCACCTGCCTGCATCTAGGTCACACCTTCTGCTCTCCACCGCTTGTCTCTGCCAAAGGTGAAAAGGGGTGGGGTGGGGCAGGGTGGGGGGAGGGGGCGTGAGTGGAGGGCAGGCCTCCTCTCTGCACCTGCTCCCGACCTCCTTGACCTCCTGGCTCTTTCTCGGCTGGGTTTGCTGTGGAGTCGCCCTCTCTGTCCTGGTCGGCTGGAGCCAGCGGGCAGGCGGGCTTTTGAGCCTCTGGGCTGCCCATGAAGTCTTAGGCAGGCAGAGAGGCAGGATCAGCAGCAGTCATCATCATCCTACAGGTGGGGGCGGGGGCGTTGCTCCTGGTCCATCAGCCTTGTTTCTAGGGAGAGGCAAGTTGGGTGTTGGCTCTTTGGTGTCAGGCCTGCTGGGAATGTCCGTGCTTCAGCTTCCTCACACACACCCCAGCCCAGCCCTGGATGGTCCCGAACTGCCACCTGGCCTGTGCCATCTTCCTTCCTATGAGCGGGGGCTTCCCCAGCCCTCCTTGGGAGTCCCAGTCGATGCCCTGTCCTTCTGGGGCGGGCCTCCCCCTTTGAACCCGAGGCCTTCCTTCTCTGTGGGTGGATGGCTGTGATCCCCAGGCTGTCTAGATTCAGAGACATAGGAACTATGTAGATATTTAAAGGACTAGAGTTTTAATAATATACTGTACCTATATTTAAAGATGATCGTGACATTCTGCACCTTTGTATATGTTGGAAGAGTTCATTGCTGTGTGATAGCCTGAACTTTAACTTAT